TTTTTTTGGGAAGCCTAAAAGCCCACTTTTGTTGTAAGGCCTTTACAGACAGGACCGTGGATTGGGTTACAAACGAACTGCGCAGGCTCCATGGTCAAGTTCAAGTTGGACTGGCTAGTAAAAACTGAGGGGGCGCATTCTGCAGTGTCTGCCACGGGGGAGCCCCCCCCCCCCCCCCCCCTCTTTGATCTTCCCCCTGCAAAACGAGACACCGGAGACAGAGCTGCCCTGCGCTTCTGCGACAAGAATGCGCAGAACTCCCACCAACCGCGGACTTTGGAGAGATCGCTTTTAATGTACAGGACGACATCGTACTCTCCAAACCCATCCCCGTGACCTTCACTATCTAAAGCACACACAATATAAGTGGCGCTACTCTTAAACGCGCAAGGTCGTTTTGTCTGTTGCGCAAAAGGTCTTCCGAGTCTTATCTCCGCACGATCACAAGATCCAATCTGCCCCGGCCACGACCCATTGCATAACTCTTAGTGAGCAACAGAGCATTGGGATCTTTGCCACCTCTGGGCGCCACACCAAGACTATTGTCAAAACTTCACCAGTAAGGATGTCTCTGCCAATGAGTCCAATGGGATTCGATCTTGTCTTTTTTTTCTTTTTAAACCAAGTATGTTTTTTTCTTAGACATCAATAAATACTTTCCACAGCATACGCATGGTACACAAACATAAAGCCAGATATTCTAAACCCAAAGTATAAAAGCAAGGCATGGTGAGATTTAAGTTCTGCCTCGTTGCCACAAAAACGGAAATTAAACAAATTCCTTTTTGCCCTTTCCTCTTTTAGTCAAGGCATTTTTGGTTCAGTTGAGAACTTTTTCACTGTTTGATCACATTTCCATTGGAGTGCGTATTCGTGTGGATATTTAACATCAATAGACGATCTATCAGTATAGCTTTGTTTGGATGTTTCCCTAAAACTATCAAACCCACTGTACTAGCTTCATATCAAATCATGAAAACAATATATTACCAAAGACAGACTTTTTGAAAATGACATACTTGTACGCAACTTATATTTCTCTGAAAAATCTCAGAGAAAAGCAGCAGCAACCAGAGGGAGAGAGAAAGGAGGGTGCACACATAAGTTAACGTTTTTCTTCCCTTTGCAGACCAGATGAAAGAGTTGGGGTAGAAAGCCAAAGGAATTTCCCTCACTCCTCAGCCTCTAGGCTGGGGGAGGTGTCTGACTCCTGCTCGGGGCCCTTTCCTTCTTTCGGACAGGCGAGGGCGCACAAGGACAGCGGAGGCTGCTGTGAGCTCTCCTGTTAGAGAGAGACCACATGACACCAGTCCACCAGTCCATCATTTAGATCCAAAACCAACAGCCCTATTCCCCGCAGTCAAAAGTAAATGTCCAAACGAGGCAAAATAGAGAGGCATCGACTGTGGCAGGACCCCAGGATGGAGTCGAACATTTGAATGGCATCTTCAAAAACAAGACGATTCTTGGCTGATTCTCAGAATGGACCGCTAAATGTAGCGATAATATGTCATTTTGGGAATCGCAGACCGGCAGCTATATTAAGTCATATTTCCATGGAGAAGGCGCTAAAAAGACATCGGAATACTCATAATAAAAGTTAGAGATTCCATTATGCGGCCAGGGTTGCCAATTTTCCAGCAGTTGCCACTGATTACAGTCAAGCACGGTGCGTAATTTAGACTGAAAGAATTTGAACTGATGGGGTTCATTTTCTTTCACTTACAGTTCCCTCGCCAGTATTTTTGGAGTGCACTTGGATGTGGCTGAAGAATGATGAGACTCAGAAACAAAGGACGTTAAGTGCACTGCGAGCTTGACAATTAAATCAAACGTTTTACAACACTCCGATTGCTTCTTCTAAGTCTTCAAAATAAGGCAAAGATATATATACACTTGGTTGCAAGCACGAGAAGTTGAATCTATATTTCTCGAAAAAACCCGAGGAAAAGCTGGACTTTCTTTGTTGTCTTTCATTAACACTGCAGCAAAAACATTTTTATTCACTTAAGTTCGATATAAAAACAGCCCTCGCATCCATATAAGCACATATGACATTTCCAATTCTGTGCTCTGGTCTTTTGAAGGACGAAGTACCAAATAATGATGCCAATTAATATCAATGGAAATAATTCATTTTGCACGACATGCCACGTACACGTGATGCATAATATAAAAAATGAGGTGCCCAGAACTTGTCCAAGTGAGGAACACAGCATGCTGCGTCCCCTTATTTACTTCAGGCTCTCTTGGTTATTAAGACTTCCTGTTTAAATGGCCTCTTATCTAAACGCTGACCTGAGACTTGACCTCAGAGGACTTCAGTTGACTCCACTTAGGATGAGGAAGGGAGCCATCAGAGACACAAAGGTGAGGAGGAGGGGGGCGCTAAACAGTAAAAAGGCATTTAGATAATCGCTGTATTCTTCTCAAATAGCCCTGAAATAAACCAAAAGGCAAAACATTCAGTTGAAGTATGACATGTTACAAAATTCATTTTCTAAATATGTATTAGCCTTGCGCCCATTTCTGGATGCTGTGGTATTGCTAAAGACCATCTGGGCCTTAAAAAATGGAATGCTCATATAAAAGTAATGTTCTAAAATAGGCCTAGATTAAAATAAAATAAAATAAAAAATGGACTAAGCGCTCATCAGCAGAAGGACAAGCTGCTACTGCACGTGGATGTCCCTGAATCTGTAAGGTTATGCTTGTTGTTCTCACTGACACCCCACCTCCATTTAGTCGCTGCCACCTCTCCCTGTGTTTACGCACAATTCCAATCAATGCGTGTCGTCATCAGGGGGGACCATCATGACGACTGGCTTGTTAAGAATGACAGCTCAGGAGAAAGAGAGAGAGAGCGAGGGGTAAATGGTGATCCCTCCCAGAGCTCCTGCTCCGCACTCTGGAGCTGTCTTCTCTGAGGGTCAGACCGGATTGCATCCCCCTCTTTTGCACAAGCCTCCTCAACCCCCTTTGGGCGAAAAACCCCTCTCCCACCCACCTTCACCAGCGACCGCCGTCACCACGCGCTCTCATACACACACACACACACTACTACACCCCGACAACCAGCGCTCAGGTTTTTTTTCTGACGTGCCGGGCACTCTCTCTCGCGAAGTCGAGGTCTTTCGGGCAGCGCCGGTGATGGAAAGCAGAGAGGAGGCGGCGAGGCTGGCGGAGGGAGGTCAGCGTGGCGGCCGCGGCCCCGGTCTGTCGGAAGCCATCGGGAGCCCCGGGAGAGAACCGCAGGGGAAGCCGAGCCACAAGGGCTGCCTCAGCCCCGTCTCCGCGCCCTACTCCCGGGACAGGACCGAGCTGGCGGTGGAGGAGAGCGCACGGAGGACTATGTGCGCGGACATGAGGGCGGTTGTGGGCACGTCTTCGTCTGCCCAGAGGCACCGGGCTGAGCTCCCCCACCATAAGGACGCCAGCAGCTCAGACACGGAGTCAGACTTCTACGAGGAAATTGATGTCAGCTGCACGCCTGAAAGCATGGACTACTCAGCAGCTAAAGGTAGACATGCACGCTGCAGCACGCAGGGTCACGGTGGTGGTGTGAGTCAGCTCGTGGGGTTGATTGAGAGAGAACACGTCTAGCTGTAATGCGTCGTATGCAAAAAGCCTAGTGAAAAGTCATAAGATGACAGCCTGAAAATGCACGGTGACATCCTAAATCCGACTTAACCAGACGGAGAGGGGCTGCAGTGGGTACGCATACAGCTGTTCTGTCAAGTGGGTCCTGCAGCTGGGGAGAGCTGAGGTGACACCCACTATTTCACCAGGCATTTGTGTCACTGGCTTCAGCTGCATGTGTACGGATCGCCAGATTCAGGAATTTAAGTAACCTAAGGACAACATTCGAGAAATGAAAATGTATCCTGGCTGGCATGCTTTAAAAAGGCAAAAACTAAGCACTTAAAATTTAGTAATGGGCTACTCTTTACCAAAAATGACCCCTAACTGTCGAATAACAAGGATTAAATGCAAATTATTCTGGTTGTTAATACATTAATTCCAAGAACTGGTGAATTAGTTATACATCTTTTTAGCAGCTGCACAAATAAATTACCTCGTCTTGTAAATTAGAATCGGGAAAAAAGACAGTTTGATAGACACAACCAAACAATGACTTGGGCTAAAATGCATTTAGGGTCTTAAATGTAACAAATTAAACTAAAACTGATGCAAATATTTGGCTGGACAAAATTGCAACATTTAGCAAAATTACTCATTAAATACTAAACGAATATAAAGAAACAATCCAACTCAGAGCATTTTTAAATCACATTTTAATTGTTTTAATCGACTTGACTGACTTCATCCAAAACGATCCGTGTGTTCTGCATATTGTTCCAGGTCGAAATGGGGATTCTCCGGGTCACCCGAGTGAAACTGGCGTTGACCCAGGTAAGGCCGTCCCGGGCCAGGGCTCTCTGTCCTACTCGGCAGACCAGATCCGGAGGTACCGGACGGCCTTCACCCGGGAGCAGATCGCCCGGCTGGAGAAGGAATTTTACCGGGAGAACTACGTGTCGAGGCCTCGGAGATGCGAGCTCGCGGCCGCCCTAAATCTACCTGAGACCACCATCAAGGTAAGATTTCGTGTCTCTCAGAGGAGCAGTGAAGAACCGGGCCTCTGGTCCACAAGCACAAACCCACACGTTGTGGACTTGTTTGGATACAAATCAATACTGGGGGAGCAACACCGGTATAGTTTAAATCGGCGTGAAAGCTCTGGGGAACAAATATATAAATACATATACGGGAAAATGGTCGGTGGAATTATTGTTTCGAAAGCAGAGGTCTTATTTTACACAGACGGACATGCAGACGCTTAAGTTTTATTCATTTGCTTTCAAATATTCATCACATGTCGAAGGTGCTTTGTCAGAAACGGAGCCCAAACTGTGCATAAGACCAACAGAAGTGCTGCACAATCTTGCCTCCATGCATCAGCTTTCGTTATGGGACTTGAGAGGCAGAGCAGTGGTTAATATTTGACGCCTCGTGTCTCTGTCCCAGGTGTGGTTTCAGAACCGGAGAATGAAGGACAAACGTCAGCGTCTGGCCATGACGTGGCCTCATCCCGCCGACCCGGCCTTCTACACCTACATGATGAGCCACGCGGCGGCCACGGGGAACCTGCCCTACCCCTTCCCATCCCACCTGCCCCTGCCCTACTACTCCCCCCTCGGTGTGGGCGCTGGTTCGGGTCCGGCTGCAGCCCCTTTTTCGAACCCCCTGCGCTCGCTCGACGGTTTCCGGGTGTTGTCGCATCCCTATCAGAGGCCGGAGCTGCTGTGCGCCTTCAGACACCCCTCCATGTACCCGGGGCCCCCCCATCACGGCCTGGGCCCCGGAGGCAGCCCCTGCTCCTGCCTGGCCTGCCACTCCGGCCAGTCGAACGGTCTCTCGACCAGGCCCTCCGGCTCGGACTTCAGCTGCTCTCCGACCAGCAGGACAGACGCTTTCGTCACTTTCTCGCCCTCGGTGCTCAGCAAATCCTCGTCTGTGACATTAGACCAGAGGGAGGAAGTGCCTCTGACCAGATAGAACCGAAACCAGCACACCTCCTACACAGGCCTCTGCCGTATACGCTTTTCACCCAACGTGTAAAACGACCCAGACAAAGACGAGAAGAGGCTCCAGATCCAAGATGGAGAAGATGGGCAGCCCGCTCTGCAGCCAGAAGACGCACAACAGATCACTGTACAACAACCCCAGAGTCACGACGGAGGCCTGAAATATGCCCGCATTGACCGAACAATTCTCTTCGTTTTTTCTTTTCTTTTAAAGATTCATTTAATATGCGAGGAAGAGCGTGAGAGGCAGGCAAACTTAAATCTCCCTGATGGATGGCGTTGAAGCTTTTAGCATTCTTCTTTTATTTTTTGGTCGTCTTTTTACGCGTCCAAATCGACAGCCTCGTGTTGTTAGTTAGGAGAGAATGATGCTTTCCATCTCGATTTTTTTTTAACAAGGGGATTTGTTAGCAGACTGTCTCATTATAAGCAAGCCCCTCCACATAGTCCCTGCATGGCGGCGGCGCGGGCCCAAATGTGCAGATGCGAGGAAAATTAGTCGGTGATGTATATGGAAGAGCCGGCCGAATTTTGAGCCTTGAATTAATGATAATACCGGGAAGGGATCGTTGCTGCCGAAAGGTAACAAGGCGCCGGGGGAACGGATTACCACAGCCCGCGCGTTTTGGAGAGGGGGGGGGAGTGGAGGGTCCATGAGGAGGATGGAGAGAGGACAATCAGTCAGAGGAAGAAGAAGAAGAAGAAAAAAAAAGACTCTGAACATGTTCAAGGCCTTCAAATTCCGTGTCTGTTTCCTCTCATGAAGATAGAAGAAAGTTCTTTAAATCTGCTGAAAATGTGATAGAATTATGCCCAAGGGACCGTTTTTCTCGCTTTGCACAGCTACAGTGGCAGCAGTTTTGTGGCATTAATAAGGACAAGATGTACGTAATTTTATTCCTTTGTCCTATACGATTTATGTTATTTTATTCGTATTTTTCCGTTTATCCTATGTTGTCGTTTAGTCCTTCTTGTTTTTTTTTTTTGGTTTTTTTTTGGCTAGGTTGTCAGTAACGTCCAATTTGCAATAAATTATCTGAAAGAGTCAACGCAGCAATGCAGTGTGTGTCATCAAAATTCATCTCTCAAACCGCAAAATCCCAAATGACGAGTCAACTCCAATTTTACTAGGAAAATTAAAACCGCATCAAACCTCGTCTGATGCCTTCGGGACACTTTAACTGGGTTTGATTTTCAACACAAGCAGGATGGGGCGGTGGGCCTTCCCCCCACCCCCCAACCCCCCCACCTTAGATAACAACACTAATTCTGCTCTCAAGTGGTTGCTGTCAAAACACAAGAGTGTGCCCCCATATTTCCTGATGGGACCGCTAGATTGACCGTGACAGCTAAGTGGTCCCCGGGCTCCTTTAACGCCACGCATTTTTTTTTTCTCGGCAGCCTCTTAATAGATACGAAATTAGTTGTCTGAAGATATTGGAAATGCGAAGGGATCGATCATTCGGAGAGCGGCGCCAACAATCAGCCGGGTTTTAATTGGTCACATTTGACCGCGGCCTCGCAAATTAAAAGACTTCTCGGAGCGTAAATAGGATTGTGCCTAAAAAGCTGCGGCCCGCAGAGAGACACGCCATAACCGAGGGGCTTTTCACGCTGCAGATTACAAGTTGTTGCTGCTATTTCTGATTAAATCAGCCATTCAGGACGAACGCACGTGCGTTTATGGAGATTTATTGTAAAAATTAAACTGCTTCGATGCACGTTTGTTATTTTTTTTACACTAAGTGTCCACCGGCTTTTTATCCCAACTCACGAATCTCGAGAAATATCGTTTCCATTCCACGCAAACCCCTGCGTGGAATACATGTCTGTTGGTTCTGGAGTCTGTGGTGCTCTCTGAGCTGAAAAGGCTTATCCTAATCAGACACAACTGCAACACCCCCCCCCCCCTCCTCCTCCTCCTCCCACACCAGCACACGCCTGTGATTGATGGCCTTATTAACTGGAGTTCTTGTAAGTGTGACCGATCTGATTAAAATGCATATGTTTGGAATAATACACCGTTTAAGCCTCCCGGGTCGGGGCGAAAGCACAAGGCAGATTTATGTAAACTATCAGCCGGTGTCTTTAAGCCTGCAGGGACATGGGTGAGGCAGGGAAATGGACCTGCTTTACGCGTGGTAAAAAAAAGAAATAAAAAATCATGCCATAAAACTAAGATAAAGGGATAGGGCTGGACATTGAATAGGCGTATTCTCCCAAAAATCTATTGATTCTTACAGAGGAAAACACTCATTTTTTTTGTTTCTCACGCTGGTCCAGCAGAACCATACAACCATCTTCCAAACATGCACCACTGTGCAAGAGTGGCCCATTAAAGCCAAGAGAATTCCGGCTGCTTTTAGCCAGACACTCGTATGAAGCCTTATCTCGCTTCCCTGCATGCGTCTCCATCCTCTGTGGCCTAATCTAATCCAGCTAAAACATGCCATCTAATCGCTGGAATATTGCCTATGACGGAGCTTCAGAACACGATGGGCTCGTATAGATCGCGCGCACAACAGCAATTACGGATCCCTTATAAGATCACATTAGTTCAAAGAGGATGAGGGCTCCCCAGTTCCCCAAACTAGCACAAAGCATTTTGATAGGGGCGGTGCAGTGCAGCTGTCCACCGACAGTGAAACGCGCACACAGGCGCGCGCGTGCACACACACACACGAAAGGTACGAATGGATCTGTGGCTGCTGCTGTTAAAATTGGATTACATCCTAATTTGCAGAGCCGTGTCGTAACGCAAGAGGCTGGCGGAGGCGTGCACGGACCAATCACGCAGTAATGATGATGAATGGGAGATTAATGCGCATACAAGCAAGACAATTTAAGCCGTCATCTGTTTAAACAGGCTTCCAATATCATTTGGAAACAGAGGTCACGTTAAATCAATCGGGGGGACGCGTGAAAGTCGTTTTTCGGAGGCGTCTTTATCAGCATTATTTACGGTGCACCGGAGACAGAGTCGGGCACGGAGAAAATGGGCCGGCTGCCGCGCGCCTCTGTCACACAGACGAGCACGAGAAACAGATGAGGAGCAGCTCACGTTATCAAAAGAGCCGTTTGACTCACTTTTCATCGCTGCAGCCTCCAAACGTGAACCCAAATTCGTTCCCAAAAAGATCTCCAATATAATCAAAAGGTCCATTATGAGACAAAATGTTTTTCTAAACTCTGTTTATCTTTTTTTTTTTTAGGTTGGAATGGCAGAGTTCTTTGATGAGATTATTTAGTGCGTAAAAAGATCAGTTTCACATTGTCTCTTAACGCTTTTCCGTTTAGAAAACACCCCAGAACAACTGTGATGTTCTCAATTGTGAGGGAGGACAGAAAGATCAGGGGAAACGTTCAACTCATGAGATCATTTTGTCTCCTCATTATCTAAACCACATAAGAGTTCCTGTGTCTTCTTCACCTACTTTTATTCATTTTAAATCAACCCAACTCATTCAGATGATAAAGACAAACGTTCTAAAAAACTGTGATGAGTCAAACCCAAAAGTAAAAAATATATACCAACAAATTTACTAATCTCGGTAAAAAACATATCATTGTTATTAATAAAAAATATTTAAACTAGAGCCACAAAACCAGGAATTGCACAATTTGGATTGTTACATTGAACCACCTTTATTGTTGCTGAATCCAGGAGGATAAGGGATTTTGGAGTTATTGGCTACAGTATGCCCTATAATGAGGACTATAGAAACCTTGGAGGACATTTCCCCACTTCTAACTTTCTAGGGAATTATTGTATATGAATAGCTGAATTCATTTCAGAGAGATTTTTTCCCCCAAGCACCTTATACAAGGTGAATTTTTTAGCATGATGATGTGGTTATAGAGAGAAAAATCTGGTAACAGCTGAGTGACAATCTGGAAATGCTATAACCAACAAACACATTAAAAAAAGATCCACAAACTTACCAGAGACTGCCTGCATCTGTCAGGCTGTTCCCGTCTGAGCCCAGCTGTTCTTTGTGTTGCTTTGTCCCGATGACACTTTCATGAAACATTTTCACTGAAACTTTCTCTTCTTTTTTGTCTTTGCCGTTTTTTTTTTTTTTTTTTTACAGACTTTTAAACTTACCTTTGATATCAGCAGGAACAGTTCATACATTGTCTGGTTTTTGACAACCTGAAAACCTAGTTCTGTTTCAATTGAGCTAGATAAGAAATACCTACACACCTGCATTGTACCAAGGGGCAGGATTTACAAATGAAACATCCCTTAACCTCAGAAACAGGTCAACAGCAAAAGAATTGTCATAAAAAGTGATGATTCAGGCTACTTTATCCTCATGCTTCCTCTGCATTTGAGCAACAATGAGGCCTGGAGTAGTAAAAAGTCATTTTAGGTTTCCAGCGTCTTTCTTGTATGCAGCTGATAAACTTGTAAGTTATGTTTTTTTAAATAAAAGCAAAACATCAAATAGGTTGAGGGGTTAGGAACATAAAAAGTACAAAGTTCTTATGAGAGATCTGCCAACCTAAGGTGGGACAACCTTTTCCTTTTTTCTTTTTTTAAAGCAAACATAAAACTACAGAACTGTCAGCTTTCACTGGAAGGAATGAAAGAACAAGAACCACTCATGGGATCACTCTAGTTTCAAAACCCATCCTCTTCATCCATCAGCCTAACTTATTACCACAAAAGAAAACTGTGTCTTGCACATTGAAACTTTGTTCTATGTAAAAACATCAAGTCACAGGTTTGTTGGTGGATAACAGGCTATAAGGATAGATTACTGCAATCAACTGAAAAAGACATCCAGATAAAAAATAATATCTTTATTGACTGGGTTTTTAATAAATCTATTGCGTGATTTATTCAACACAGTCTCATGGACATTCATTCACACGTCGGTCTATTAGGAAAGCCAAATATTTCTCAAGGCTGAGAATTGTAAAATACCTGCATCCTGTTCTGTAGCTTTACTGATGATGCTTCCAAAT